GGGCGCTGGGGCCCGGGCCCGGGCGCTGGGCGGCTGTGACAGCAGGGTGTCCCCGCAGGCCAAGTACCTGGCGCAGATCATCCTGGTGGGGGCCCAGGTGGTCGGACGGGCCTTCATGCGGGCGCTGCGCCAGGAGTTTGCAGGTCCGAGCCCGGCTGGGGCCCTGGCCCGGGGGTGCCGCTCCCCCTGCCCAGCGTGCCCACGGTGCTGGGCACCCCATGGCATCCCCACCCCTGCCCAGGGCACGGCCGCATCCCCCTCCCCCATCCCCAGGGCACCCCGCTGCCCCTCATCCCCTGGAGCTGTGCCCGGAGGGGACGCTTGGCAGGCTTGTCGCAGGGTGACAGTCAGCACCCATGTCCCAGCACCAGCCTAATGGCGTTTCAGCTCGGGCCGGGCTCCCGGCACCCATCCCAGGCACCAGCCTGGACCCAGCCCCACTGCCAGGCTCCGAGACAGCCCAGCAGCCCCAAAGGACAGAGTGGGGTGGTTCCTCAAGACAACGGCAGCCCCAGCCCTACCAGCCCACAGCCTGGCTCGCTGCAGGCACCCAGAGCAAACAAGTGCCCCCTCGGTTCCCACCACCCCCCCAGCACTGGGGACCGCGTCCAGGTGACCGCTGTGGGCTGGAGGCAGTGTGAGGAGGGCAGAGGGGTGGGACTGGGATCTGAGCACCTCAGAGCCCGTGGGCTTTGCTGCCCAGCCCCCACCCGAGGCCTGGAGGTCCCCAGGGGGGCAGCGCTGGGGGGACTTACGCCCTTGGTGTCTCCGGACAGCGAGCCGAGCAGCGGCAGACGCGCGAGGGCGCTCAGAGAGGCCCCAGTCCGCTGCTGCTTCCAGGATCATCGGCATCAGCCTCCAGGAAGCTCAGCAGATCCTCAACGTCTCGAACCTCAACCCGGAGGAGATCCAGAAGGTAGAGGCTCTGTCAGAGCCGGGAGGAGACGGTGCTGGCAGGGCCCTGCCCACCCCTGCCAGGTGTAGGGGTGACTTCTGGTCCCCGGAGGAAGTGTGGGTGCTGTCCTCGGCTTAGTTAATCCCAGTTTGAGGTTTCCCTGCCCTAGCTGGACAAGCGTGCCAGCACCTCGCAGGCATTAGCCACCTGCCAAGCTTGGCCCCTGCGTGGGAAGGGGATGTGGGCTCCCCAGAGGTTCCCAATTGGGAGCGTGGGGACGCTCTGGGGGGTCGGGCAGAGCCAGCCCTGTCCCTGAGATTGCACTCATCACCTCCAGCACCGTCACAGGGAGCGGGAGGCCACCGGGGTTGAGGAATGGAGAGGGCAGAGGAGATGAATCTGAGGGGGAACTTCTCTTTGGCAGAACTACGACCACTTGTTCAAGGTGAACGACAAGTCGGTGGGAGGCTCCTTCTACCTGCAGTCCAAGGTGAGCAAAGGGAGGAGAGGAGGGGGCTGCACCGGCCCCCAGCCCTGCCCTCAGCACCTTCCCCAGCCTGGGACCTGGGAAAGAGCAGAATCTGAGCGTCACTGCGAGGATGAGGCAGGGAGGGGAGGGGGCAGCCCCGTCCCTCCCCATTGTCACCCTGTCCCCATGTCCCAAAGGTGGTGAGAGCCAAGGAGCGGCTGGACGAGGAGCTCCGCATCCAGGCCAAGGACGAGAAGGAGAAGGGGTGGAAAGCCGAGACGTGACTCCTGCCGTTCCCACACCCCTCACCCTTAACTTATAGGTAGCCAATAAATACCATGTCCTCCAGCGCCTGGCCTGGCTGCTCTGCGCCCCGGGGAGGGAGAGGGGATTTGCCCCCTCTGCCCTGGAGGGGCTCGGCCCCTGCGAGGGGCTGGGTTTGCCCTGGGGAGGAGGAGGAGGGAGGTGGCTGGGGAAGAAGGGGTGTCCCTGGGGCACTGAGGGCTGCCAGGGCTCAAATGGCACTGGGGGAGGCTGCGGGAGCTATTTTTGTGGTGAGTTCGGATGCTCTTGGCCCGAGTGCACAGATACCTCTGGCTCCGTACCACGGGAATGCCGGGAGCCCCGTTACCTTTCTCCCACCAGGGGCGAGCAGCCGGGACAGCTGCTGGGTCGGGGCGAGGGGCTGTGGGGACAGACGGTGAGGTGGCTCATCCAGCAGACCCTGGCAGGGCCTCACCAGCACCGAGGCTGCTGCACCGGGAGTGTGGGGACCTGCTGGGGGGCCAGGCAGAGCCAGCCGTGCCGCCCGGATTGCGCCCATCACCTCCAGCACCCTCTGTCCACTGGCTTCGTCCCCACCTCAAGCTTGTTGTGGCCATCACCACCATCGCGGACTGAAACAGGAACTTACTTCAACTGCACTTTATTGTTTTCTTAATAAACTTCCTCTCCCCTGGAGGAATATAGTGTTATAGTCGTTAGCTTATCTCTTACTTCTGCAGTCCTTAAACGCTATGCTAACAGCGATGGAGCCCAACAGGAGGAAAATAAAAACAACCCAGAAACTACGATAGAAAGGCACTTCGAGACCGTTAAAATACTGATGTCCTGGAATGTGCAACAACAAACCGACGAAGGAGCGAGGAGACGTACACCATACACCGGCCGGGGCGGCCTGGTCGATGGCCCACGGCCATGCTGGGGCTGTGGCAGCACCGGGCG